TTTTGGAATTATTTATTTAATAAGCACATACTTAGAAGAAGCATTTCATTACAATAGCATTGACATATTCAATAACATTTTCCTGAGCTAAGATGCATCTCTTTGCAAGTGGGTACAGGTTTCTAGGTTCACGGTTGAATTAATACAGTTATACAGTCTTGAACTCAGTATAAGTCCTGTAGGAGATAAAACTGAATGAATTTTTAACCTTTAAAAAAGATCTCCATTTCATTTTAGAATATATTGTTCCTTGCAGAAACTCATTGTTTTTCCTACTAACACTGAGATGTTGGCGCATATATCTCTAATCTGTATGTATCTGATTATTACTGGTCATAATCGGTTGCAGATGGATCTTTGGCACCTGTGTATGTCTATAAAGTCATCGGGTAGATTACAGTGGTAATGTTATCACCTCTACTAATTAACATGATGTAAATTTCCATGCTTCCTCCTCAAATATAATACATTTTTTTAAATTTGTTGATGTGTGTGTGTGTGTGTGTGGTTTTATGTATCTAAAATCTAGGAACCACATATGAAAGAAACATACGATATTTGTGTTTCTTAGACTGGTTAGTTTATAGTATTAATACTTCCAATCCATGAGCATGAGTGGTCTTTCTGTCATTTATTGTCTTCAAGTTCTTAAGTATTCTAAACTTTTCATTGTAGTGATCTTTCACTTTCTTGACTAGTTTGTTGTTTTAATATTTTATTTTTATTTTTTATGTTTGAGTGTATTGTCTGCATGTATATAAGTGCTACTGTGTCATGCAGTGCCCACGGAGGTCAGAAGAAGGCATCAGATCCCCTGGAACTGGAGTTATGGATAGTTGTTAGCCACCATATGGGTGCTGGGAATCGAACCCAGGTCCTCTGCAAGAGCAGTGAGTGCTCTTAACCACTAAGCCATCTCTCCAGCCCCCATTGTTGTTGTTAAAGCAATTGTGAATGGAGTTTTTTTCTTAGTATGTTGGTTATTGGTATATAGAAAGACTACTAATTTTTGTACATTAACTTTGTATCCTGCCACCATACTGAAAGAAGCACCTTGAATGTTAAAAAGAGCAGTATGTTTCCTTCTGGAGACCCTGCTGCCAACTGGCAAAAATGGCCTTGCTCCACAGCCTTCTAGACATTTGCTTTTTAGAGTCCTGTTCCTAAATGTCTCCAAGAGATCAGAAAGAAACAGATTTGGAAAAAAATAGATGAGATATTTCAGTTGAAGTGTCTGTGATTTTTGGTTTTTAGCAGTTTGACTATGGTATGTCTTAGATAGGGTTTCCGAGGTTGGTTCTGTCTGGGGTTTGTTGAGCTTCTTAGATCTATGGATCAATATTGTTCATCAAATTTCACTGCTATTACTTTGAAATTTCTACCATGGTCTCTCTCCTCTACTTCTGGGACTCTCATTACATATTAACTCAGGGATTTCACAAATAACTGGGGCTTTTTTCTCATCTGCCCCTATATGTACACATAATGTTGTTTCCTGTACCTCTGTCTCATCTGTCTCTTCCCCTGTAATGTTCATTCTACTGTTAAGTCATTCCATGTGTTTTATTTCAGGTATAATATTTTTCAGATGTAAGCATTAGTCATACATTGCACATATATAATATATACATACATATACTTATAATTGTAATTTCTATTTTTCTGATGAGATTGTCTGCTCACCTTAAGTCCTTGAACATATATTTGTTTTAAAGTTCATATCCGCTGATTTCAACATCTCTGAGTTTGTTTCTTTTTTCAACTGTTTTTAGTTACTCTTTACCACCTTCTTCACATGTCCAGTGTTTTTCATTGTATCTTGGACAGTGTAATGCAGTGTTGACCATCTGGATTTTGTCATCTTCCTTTAAAGCATGTTGTCGTCTCTCTTTAAAGAATTACCTGGTGGACAGGCCAGTTCTTTCAAGGCATATGTCCTGTTTTTCTAGTGTTCCACAAGGCTCCCCTGGGAGCTCAGATTGCTCCTGATGGTGTGGGCGCTCCAGGTGCTCACAGTGCCGCCCTTCCAGCTGTTCCCTAACATCCTCTGCCTGCCCTGTTTTGCTCTTCGTATTCAGCCATAGATTTAAGAAGAAACCTTTGCATATTTCTAGAATTTCTTTTTTGTACAATTTTTTTTGTTTGGTATGCTGCCTGTTAAATTTACCTGCTTAAGCAGCCTCAAGGTCCACTCTTTGTTTCTTATACCTAGTGAGACTTGTTCTCTCTTTGAGCTTTACTTTCTTGTGGACTAGTATGCAACATGTCCCCAGGCAGATGCCAGGGTTAATGTGATCCTTCCACAGTCTGTTTTCCTACTCTCAAGGATCACAGCACTCTGGTATCTATTGTCCATTGTTCAACACAGTTGCTTTATTTAGTTGTAGATACATACACATGTAGTGGTATTCCTTTTAAGGTCTGGCAGTGTGGTGACACACACCTTTATCTCAGCACTCTAGAGGAAGAGGCAGGTAGATCTCTGTGAGATTGAGGCCAGTTTGGTGCAGCTCTATAGGCTACAGGGAGACCTGTCTTTAAAAAAATCTGTTTCCTCTTAATTATGGACAGCAAGGTCATCTTTGGAGGTTAATGATGATGTATAATACAGCAACTCCCTACCTTTGTCATGTGCCAAAGATACCTCCAATGGTACCCAAAGATTTTTTTCTTGAAAAAAGAGCCTGAGGATTCCATATGCCACACAGAACAATAATCAGAGGCATGATCAACATTCTGTGTTGTAATGTAGTTTACATAATACAAGGCATAAGGTTAATAAGGTTACATTTTCTTACATGATAAAACAGAAACAAGTTTATTTTAAGTTAAATATCATTTTTAATAACTGACATGAACATTTTGCAAGGTTTATTTCACTATCTCTTTCTTTTTGTTATTTTTATTTTACGTGTATTCGTGTATTACCTGCATGTAGGTAAGTGTACCTGTATCATGCAATGCCCACGGAGGTCAGAAGAGGCTGTTAGATTCCCCTGGGACTGGAGTTACGGACAGTTGTTAGCTGCCATGTGGGTACTGGGATTCAAACCCAGGCCTACTGTAAGAACAACTAGTGTTCTTAACTGCTGAGCCATCTCTCCAGCCCCTATTTTACCATATCTCTTTAAGACTTTCCGTTTGCTAGCTATGGCATTCTTGTTAAAAATGGATATCTCATTTTCATATTTACACCTTTTGCAATGGGTCTCTGTACTTGCTTGCAGTTTTCTAGATGTGACCGAAACAACAACAAAAACTTATCTCTGTTTCAAAAGAGTAAACTGTTTCTTAGAAATTTATAATACAGGGCTGGAGAGTCTCAGTGGTTAGGTTCAGTTCCCTGCCCCTAGATGGTGGCTAACAACTGTCCATAACTCCAATTCCAGGGGATCCACCGTCCTCTTCTGACCTCCGAGGGCATTGTGCAACATGGGTGCATTTACATACATGCAGGCAAACACTCATACACATAAAAGAAATTTAAATAATAAAATGTTTTTAAAGAAATTTATAATAATTTAATGAAAATGTTCTTAAGCTTAAGTTAATAATACAGAATATTTTAGTTTTAGTTAAGTAGATAACATATTTTATGAAATGTCCTCTAATATTGTGCTGAAATTATTAAGCCAGGAAAAGTTGTGCACACATGTAATCCCAGCACTAAAGAGGCTGAAGGAGGAAGATTTGAGTTCGATGCCAGGGTGGGCTGCACATACTGAGTCCAGGCCAGTCTGGAACATGACACAGCCGTATCTTTAAAAAAAATAAAAAAGGAAGGGAGGAAATTTTCATAATTTGCTATTTTGCTTAATATAAAAAAATTATGTTAGTACTTTGCATTTTCTTACAAATTTTGTTTTTAGGCATAAGTACAATTAGATTTTACTTGAAAGCTTTTTAAATACAATTTGCTAAGATTATCTTTAAGAATCTAGTATCACTGCAATATAAATGTAAATGTTGAGAAAAAACTTTGGCCTTTTAGTCATATTAGATTTTAAAGTTTTGGGACCGGAGAGATGGCTCAGTGGTTAAAAGCACTGGCTTCTCCTGCAGAGGACCATGCTTCAATTCTCAGCACCTATGTGGAAGCCAACAACTGTCCGTACCTCCAGTTCTAGTGGATCCAATACTTTTTTCTGGCCCTATGGACATTGCACAACATAAGCAATGGGTGCACTTTCATACATACAGGCAAAACACTCATACACATAAAAATAAATAAATGAAAAATCTTTTTTTTAGTTTTTTGTTTGTTCAGTCGTTTTGAGACAGGGTCTCCCCTGTAGCCCCAGCTGGCCTGGAACTCACTATGTAGACCAGGCTGGCCTTGAACTCACAGAGATCCACCTGCCTCTGCTGGGACTAAAGGTGTGTGCCACCACACCCAGCAATCGTTTTTAGTTTTAAAGTTTTAAAATTGTAATTGTAAGTAGGTAATAAGCTAGACTTTCCTCTATTCTAGAATATTTCATATAAAAGAAGTTGCTCTTTGAGTATTTATAATAATTTTGAAATCAACCTGACCAGACCAGATAAAATACACAGCAGAATCTACGATTCTGAGTGCCTTTGTGGCATTAACTTCACAGCATCCATCTGTACTCACTAGATGATCTGTAGGCGACTTTCCTGGGCTTTGCTCTGCCATGATGCTGTTGCTTAGATTCATCTCAAAGCAGAACCTGCAGCATTGGAGCTTTTCCTTGTCATCTGCTTCCAAGGAACTTTGACACTTTCTCTTACACAAAAGTACTTATTTTTCTGATTTCAGTCAAGAATTAAGCAGATAGACTAGGAGAATCTCAGATTATTCCTTTATTTGAGTAAGTACAAAGAAAGGTGTTTTGTAGTAAAAATAATGGATTTTTCTTTGCCTCTTTTTTCCTCTGTTTTGCCAATACATAAACTTCTCATTGCTCCAGTTAACTACTTAAGATGATGACTCTGTAAATATCTGTTCTATATTTTGCAGTTGACAAATTACAGTTTGAACCTCCCCTGAGAAAAGAAACAGAAGCACGGGATGAAATGGTAGGAACTGAGACTGTAAAACATTTCATGTTAAACTCTGAGAAAGCTAAGGGATATATTTTAAGAAACAACATAGTCCATTCTTTTCAAGTTTTAACTTTCCTACTCTAATTGACACACTAAAGTGTGAAAAGTTGGTAATTAGGTATTTTTGATGGTAGTACAACTAATTGAACCATTCATTTTGAGTGCTGAATATTTGGAGAATTTCCATGAAGTTATTAAACATTGATGTGGATGTCTTTAACCCTCAGGACATTTTTCTTGCTAATTCTGTTTAGGCCTATAATGAGCATAGTTTTGCATTGACTTACCAACTATTTAAAGTATTTTATCTGGGATGACTGAGTAATAATATGCTTGCCCTGAGTTCTAGCCTCTATCTTTAAGCTTCTTTATCTAAACCATTGCTTTGCTTGTTTTGTTTCTTCGTTTATTTGTGAGAGGGTCACTGTGTAACCCAGGCTGGCCTTGAAGTGCTATAGTCTCACTGTGTTAGCCTCTCTAGTGCTGGGATACCAGGCATATACTGCCACACTGGTATTATTTTGTGATAACTACTTAGTTACCCCTTTCTTTATATAAAGGGGTAAATAAAATGATTGCCAGGATTGGCCTAAAAGGCACCTTAACATCTAGCTTCTTTTTAGTCAGTAAAAGTCCAGTTTCCTAATAGATTTTGGTAAGCAGTCTTCTTATCGCTCCATCCTAATGAAGATTCTCTTTGCTTAATCAGCTGCTTAGTTGTCAGTGCTGATGTAACAGTACATCTTTTTTTGCATGTGAGATTGAAAGTTATGCTTAGTAGCTTTATAGAAATTCTGAAGTTTATGGCAAATGATAGAGTCATTGACCTGAATATGTCAAATGATAAAGCAAATCAAAGTGGAGGTTTAAAATTTGATGTGGAAAACATTACCATTGAAATCTACCTGATGACTTTATATCCATGCTCAGATGCCAAGGAGCTCAGAAAGTAACCGACTATGACTAGTAATAATCAGATATATAGAGATTCAAAATGCATGTGAATCTTAGTGTCAATTGTATTGAAAATGAATTTTTCTGTATGAAACTGGGTATTTTAATAGTGAAATGGAGATCTTTTTTAAAGTTTAAAATGTCATTTAATTTTATGTCTTACAGGGTTTATACTGAGTATAATATTGTATAACTGTATTAATTCAACTGTAAACCTAAAAATTTACAGCCAGTTTTGAAGGAGATGCATCTTAGCTCTGGAAATTGTTATTGAATATGTCAGTGCTGTTGTAATGAAATACTTCTTCTGATTGAGTGGTTATTAAATAAATAATTTTAAAAAGTTGATTGGATGTCTTGATAATGAACAATCCTAACACACGTTCTTGAACCAGATGAAATGGCTAACATGAAATTAATAAATCAAATGGTAATATTAACTTGGTTAATATCTATGAAAGTAACATTTTAAACTGTAACCTTCACAGGGAATATCATCCGACCCAAACTTTATATTACATTGGAATCCTTTTGTGGATGGTGCAAATACGGGCAAGTAAGTTACTAGCAGCGTTTGTGGGAGTTGCAATTTGTTTTGATATTCATCCTCCTGCCTCTGCCTCCCAAGTGCTGGAGTTACAGGCATGTGCAACCATGCCTGGCATGGTTTTTGTTTTAATCAGAATATACTATGTGTAATGATAACATGTTGAACTATATCGTGGGTTAAAAATACTGTAGTGATGGTCAGAAAGCCCCCATTCTACCTCTCTAATGTAGTTACTTTATATTCTAGATTTGTCTTTACTCAACAAGGTGAGGGGGCTGGCTTCAGTGAGTTATTGAATTATCGTTTACAAATTTGCATATTTCAGTTACCTAGAGAATTCTTTGAAAATACAGACTTCTGGATCCTTACATTAGGTCAGAAGATCTGGGGTTGGCAAACTGTAGTCTGCAGGCCAAATCTGGTCTTCTGCCCACGCACTAAATATAGCATTTGCGTTTTTCATGGATAAAAAAAGTAAAAAGAATAATATTTTCTTTTATAGGAATATTACATGAAATTTAAAGTTCACTGTTAATAAATAGGTATTAAACACAACCATATTAACTACGTTATGTATTGTTTATAGCTCTTTCACACTGTATTCAGCAAACCTTTGACTACTGTGTGCTGTCCAAAGCATTTATTATCTGGCCCTTAAAGTTTGACAACTCTTGCTGTAGAATACAGTTTTTGTGATGGAATCTAAAGGTCCTTATAGCTTCCCACTTGATCTAAGTGACTCTGAATAAGTGTGTTTGGCCATTGAGCTATATCACTGCTTCTCAAATTTTGCTGTGCCAGCTGTTCACCTGGAGCACATTCTGATTCAGTAGGTCCCTAAAGGGTCTGTTTGTGCGAGTTCTGAAGAGATGCCATTATCTGGGGACCTTCCTTTGAGTGACAAAGGATTTGATGATACAAGCACTTGCATCTACAGATTCCAGAATTCTGAATTTTGTTTTGTTTTGTTTGCTTTTTTCATTTGTTTGTCATTATTGTTGTTGTTTGTTTTTTTGTTTTGTTGTTGGTGGTGGTGGTGGGTTTTTTTTTTTATTTTTTTGAGACAGAGTCTCATGTAGCACAAGCTGGCCTCAAACTGATTCCTTCCTGCCTTCTACCACCTGAGTATTACAGGCATGCACCACCACTTGCTGCTTTTGTTTTGTTTTAATATAAATGTACAAACTTATTTTTATTTACTTTTCATTAGTTTAAATCCTTGAGGGATATAGCATCACATGTATTCTGTGTACAGTAGCCTTAGCAAAAAAGATGTCTTGCAATTTGACATGAACCATGCCACTTTCCGTGGACACAAGTTACCATTCCCTAAATTTCCCAGGCTTTGCTCAGTCTTCACCACACCTCACTGTGTTGTTTTTTGCTTTGCACATAAACACAGCTTTTACTGAAGTAAAATTCAGTTTCATCTCAATCATTTTAAAGACCCTGTGTGTTCCTTTGTCTCTGGAGACACTGCTTATTTCCAGTAGAATGGCCTCGCACCACAGCCTTCAAAACACACATGTTTCAAGCAGTTCTCCATAGGCTACAAGGTATCAAAAAAAAAAAGTATATTTTTGCTTGTTTTGTTGCTGAAAACTAAAACTAAAGCCTTGTACATGTTAACCATGTGTTCTCCCACTGAGCTAAACCCCAAGCCTGAATTTTTACTGTTTAATTTAATTTGTATTACATATTAAATATAGCAGAATTATAACTAAAAAAGACTTCATGCCCATTTTATATAATCCTTTGTAATTATGTTAATACAGTCTTAGAATGTCTTACAATGGGAGCTCTTAGGTCTTCATCATAATTTATCTTTTATATCCTCTACATAAACATTTTAGTGGATATTTTATAGTGTCTTTATGTTACAGTCATGTATGACTTTGTGCAATTTTCTCTTTGATTAGATCAACCTCAAAACGTGCAATACCGCCTCCCCTACCTCCTAAGGTGAGCTGCTTAAGATTTTGAACAATAAATCCTTGTTTAAATAATTACATTTTAAAAGTCATTTCATTGACTTTGTTCAAATTTTTCTTAAATTCATTCATTTGTGTATAGAAGGGGGATACGAAGATATAAAATAAATGAAGATTTTATAAGAAATAGTATATTTGAATAGAGACCAGAAAAAATAAGTTCTTGCTCATTTGAAAAAAATACTTGACTGCATGGATAGAGAGAAAGTTCATTTATCATCTACATTTATCACTACAATTTGACATTTCAGTAGTATCACTCTTCATTAAGGCATTGTTCCTGTTGGTTTCTAGCTATTAAATATTTTGTTCAATTTCTTGCATAGTTTTTTTATTAAATTGTGTGTGTGTGTGTCTGTGTGTGTGTGTCTGTGTGTGTGTGTGTGTGCCTGAGTGCATGCATATACACCATGTACATTGAGGTGCCCATGAAGGTCAGAAGAGGGTGTCAATTACCCTGGAACTGAAGTTTTAAATGGTTATGAACTGCCATGTGGGTGCTGGGAACTGAATCCAGGTTCTTTGCAAGATCAACAAGTGCTCTTAACTGTTGAGCCATCTCTCCAGCCCCCTTACATAATTTTGTTATAAAAATTTTATCATTTTTGGGTTGTGACTATTTTTTTAAAAAATCACGTTAAGTTCATAATTGGGGCAATAATTCAGCTCTTGATTACTTTACCAATGACTACTGTTACTATTTTTAATCTCAGTTTTTTAAAGTACTTTATCCTCTTATCATTAGCCAAGGATAAACAGTTTCCCTGAAGACAACTTCCCAGATGATGAAAAATCATCAACTGTCAAACGTTGCCCTGATTTAGAGAACAGAGCTCCTCAAGTTCTCAGAAGACAAAGCAGCCCAAGTTGTGGTCCTGTGGCAGAGAGCTCCTTTATGGGTATGAGCAGCAGTGTCAGCAGCCCTATATGCATACGGCTGGGTATGAGAGGTGAATGAGCCATGAGAGGGAAAGGAAAGCCATTCTGCTCCTGAGTTCAAGAATATCTTTTGTCTTTTCTTAGTCCTTCAACAGTTTAAAGCTTTGCTTCTGTTTTTTAATTGTACATGAATGCACCATAGTAGATTCAAACTGCTTCAACCCTAACTCAGTCCTTAGTACTGCAGGATCTAGCCCTCCAGGGGTTTAGGGGCTTTGACAGAAGTTATAGCTGTATGTATACACATAACATTACAAAAAACTGCTGGGCATGGTGATACATGCCTGTAATCTAAGCACTCTAGGGACAAAGACTAGCCTGAACTAAACAATGAGACATATCTCCAAAAAAATTTAATTAAGAGGAAATAATAAATAAAAGAAAGGAGGAAGGGAGGAAAAGAAAGACAACTGGCATGAGTATCTCCTAAAATCGTAACTGTATTTAAGAGAAGACCTGACATTTCTGAGGGTGGTAAGGATGGAGAATAGTGAAGGTGAACTCTTGCAGCATAGCAAATCACTTAATGAGCCTTCGGTACACAGAGCCGGTGCGTGGGCATTCTTGAGGAATAGACAAATGCACTGGTGCAGGAGCATCTGTGTTGTGTTTAAAATACAATCTATTATGGTGTGTTATAATTAAAGAGAAGGTAGGACTGAAAGTGAAGGTTAAAATTCAGTTATTAAAGGCCTTGAATATCAGTGTCAGTAGGCTAGATTTAATTTCCCCTTACAGTATATTTGTCACAAATTAAGAGCACTACTAAGGATGCAATGCAAACTCTACAGAATCTTGAGAATAGCACTGAAAATAAATTAACTCACCTATCAGTAGAAATATTTTCTCATAAAGACTCATGCAAGAGGAAGGGAAGTAATGGAAGCAAAGAAAAATTATTTTTTTCATTGAATGTATTTCTTTGTGTGGTCAGTCAACATTTAACCATGATTCTCTCTAGGAAATGGTGATGGTATTTCAAAACTGATCAGTGAGAATACAGAGGGATCAGCACAAGCTCCGCAGTTACCACGGAAAAAGGACAAGCGAGAATTCCCTGTAGGTAACAACAGGCACTTTGCAATGTGTTGTAACTAACATTAGGTTCATCCTAGAAGGGGAATAAGGATTAAGAATTCAGGTAACTGCCAGGCATGGTGGCGCACATGGGTCAGGCAAGGTGGCGTGTGCCTTTAATCCCACCACTCTGGAGGCAGAAGAAGGTGGATCTTTGAGTTTGAGGACCCTGTCTCAAAAAGACCAAAAAAAAAAGAGTTCAGGTAACTGGATGGAGTTGAGCATGGTGATATAGACCTGTCGTGCTGTTGTCCCCGCTTCTCCAGAAGCTGAAGCTGGATCATTTGAGCCCAGGAGTTTGGGGTCAGTGTAGATGATGCAGAAAAACTGTCTCTTTAAACAAAACAAAACAAAAATCACTTTAAAAAAAAAAAAAAAAGCTTAGGAAGTCTTACAGTATTAAAAATTATTTTAATAATTTTTAAATACAGTTTTAATTTTTTTCCACAGAAACCAGCTATCAATGGCCTTCCACCCACCCCAAAAGTACTGGTAAGGACTATTTCTATGTGACCTATTTGCCTTTTTTTTTCATTTTTTTTAATTAATTAATTTATTTTTACACCCACTTCCCAGATAGCACCCACCCGTAGCCTCCCTCCCCCCTATTAGAGCCCTTATATCCCTGCTACTGTCTGCTGTGTTGTCAGCACCCCAGCCATTCCCCACTACTTGCCCTTCTGGTGAATCTAGTCAGCCTATCTAGAGGTCTTTGTTTTAGGAGGGTCAGCTGTTCCTTATCTAGCGGTAATCAGTTGTCAGTATTCCTTTGGATAAGACTGGGGTCTGCTGTTCATTTTCCCAGTTCTATGTGGGAGTCCCTTGGGCCACCCTGGCCAACAACTCAAAAGAAGGTATCACCTGTTTGGCAATACAGTTGGACCAGATAAACCAATTTATTTTTACTCTTAAGGTCGTTTAAGGATCTGTTCCTCAAGGGTCACATGGGCTTGGGAGGAGCCCCTGGCTCCTTTCTTCTGGTTGCCATTTTTTAATCTCCTTAGAAGCAGCAACAGTAGATTTGCTATCAAGCACCTTAAACCACTAAAAGGAAGACTGTTGTAAAATACAAAGTTAGATAAACATGAATATACTATGGGTCAAATCATATACCCTAATTTGAGTGAACTGGTTAAAATTTAAGAGACAAAGCCCAGCGTCGCCTTTAATCCCAGCACTTGGGAGGCAGAGGCAGGCGGATCTCTGTGAGTTCAAGGCCAGCCTGGTCTACATAGTGAGTTCCAGGACAGCTGGGGCTACAGGGAGACCCTGTCTCAAAAAGAAAAAAAAATAAAAAAAAAAATTTAGAGACAAAGTTGGATGTGATGGGTTTAAGACTGATTTAGCTACACCAGTGGGTTTTAGGCTACACCAGTGCAACATAGCAAGATGTAGTATTTAAAAAAAAAAAAGTCAGGTGTAGTGGCATGCACCTTTAATCCCAGCCTCCCAGAGGCAGAAGCTGGTAGATGGTCCACATAATGACTTCCAGACAGCCCAGGACTAGAAGACCCTGTCCAAAAAAAGCGGGGGGGGAAGGAAATTTAGAGTGTTTCTCTTTATAAATTCTGGCAGTTGGGTTCTCAGATACCTTCTAACATCCAACTTAATTTTACTTCAGTGTTTATAATGTCTTCTTCCTAATGTGGTTTAAATATCTTTCTTCCCCGGTAGCCATTTTCACCTTGAACTATGCACAATGAGAAAGAAAAGGGAAACCTAGGTTAACACTTAATCTGTCCCCGTCAATGTATATGTGGATGATGCAGACAGTCATGGAAATAGGATACTTTATAAATTATATTCAGTAAAAGTCTATAATATAAATATCAGTGTTTTGTCTGTTGTATATTCTAGTATATTCTAGAATTATACTGTAGTTTTAATCACTGTAATGTTACTAAATAAAATCAAATATTGTCTCACATTAACAATGTTAGTCTTAAAGAAAAGTAGTAACTTAGAATTTCTGCATATCATTAGTGTGTAGATGTTCATAAATTTGGTATCCCAGCCTTAAAATGGGAAAGAAAGGACTATCACTCTTGGTACAAAGAGTTAAATTATGTTAAAATGGTATTTTGTTTAAAGATAAAGCTACAAGTATATATAAGAGTTTCACATTTCATGATTTTCTAAGAATATTGAAATTATATAATAAGTCAATATTTCTTTCTTTATAAATAAGATGGGAGCATGTTTTTCAAAAGTTTTTGATGGCTGCCCTTTGAAAATTAATTGTGCAACATCCTGGATACATCCTGATACAAAAGGTACAATTTCAAAATTTTGTTTATACTTCCTATAAAGTATTTATTGTGAGAAAGAACTTTATAATCAATGAACTGAAGTCGTTAACTTTAAAATTATCGTCATAGATACTAAATGATACAGGAACCTATGACAGCCTAACTAGGCAAACTGAATTTGGTTTAAGTACATTAAAATTGAACAGTGAATAGAAACTGTTCTTGATTAAAGGAGACTAAAGAAACATCACAACTGGTTGCGTGCTTAATATGTAATTTCCTTTTACCATAAAAGGACTTTTTTTTGGACAACTGATAATCTCAGTCAGTAATGTCTATAGATAAATTGATAGTATTATTTCAGTCTCAATGTTCAGTGGATATATATAAAACTTTTCAGGGGGCTTCAGAGATGGCTCAGTGGTGAGGAGTACCGACTGATCTTTCAGAGGACTTGGTTTCAGTTCTCAGCACCTTACATGGTGGCTAACACAACTTTCTGTAACTCCAGTTCCAGGGGGGGTCCAAATGCCCTCCTCTTCCAGTGGAGACTGGAATTGCACACACGTGGTGCATTTACATACATGTAGGCAAAACAGTCATACACATAAAATAAAAATAAATAAGTAAAAAAATAAAACTTTTATTTACTTATATTTGAGATTAGAAATTTCATGCTCTAGCTTAACTTGGAAGTGTGAGTGGGCATGGGGAAGATTGTAAGCTCAAGACAAGCCTGGACTATAGTGAGACTTTGTCTAAAATAAATGAAAAATTTAAAGAACAGGAAATTTAACATTGGTATATTACTATTTTAAATCCAAAGTCCCATTTTCTCCACTCATTTTAATTTCTCCACTTGAATATTCTATTTAAAATTACATGTTGTGTTTAATCAGTTTGAATTTATAGATTCTTAGTAAGATATGATCTATCACTGTGACTTATTGTCACACTTAAATTTTCCCAGAATTTTTGAGCAGGAGAAGTGCTTGTGTGCTTCTGTTTGAAATGTCCACATTGGTTTTTGGCGCTTTTCTTTACCTTTCTGGCACAGCAAGATTTCTAGGCTGTTTCATACTTTGCTTCCTGTTACTTATTTTCCTGTTGCTTTGATAAAACACCATGATCAAGGTAACTTCTAGAAGGAAGAGTTGATTGGGCATATGTTTCCAGGGGGAGGCATGGCAGAGGCAGCAGGAGCAGAAAGTAGAAAGAAACTGGAAGTAGACAAGGCTGTGAACTCTCAAAGTCCACTCACTCCCCAGTGATGTGCTTCCTCCAACAAGGCCATACCTCCTAAAGGTTCCATGACCCTCCTCAAACACTACCACCAACCGACCAAGTAGTCAGTACTTGAGCCTGTGGTGGGGGGATAATTCTCATTGAAACTGCCACATTTCCCAGAATTCCAATCAGTCTTTTCTCCAGGAAGCTCTGGTTCTTTTTAGTGGTAATAGTATTTAGAAACCAGCATCTGAACATGAAATGTGTTCATTATTTGTGCTCTGCCATAATTTATAGTTTCATATTTAATGCGTACTTTCCTTATTTATCTGGTGTCTTGCAAAAATGGATTGCTATAATGGTATTAAAATATAAAAATTAAGTTGAAAGATGATTAGATAGTAAAATCTGACTGAATTGGTCATACCTAGAATATTTCTGCTTTTTTAAAAAATAGGAAACAGGCTGAATGCCTTTAATCCCAGTACTAGGCAGATCACTGTGAGATCAAGGCCAGCTTTGGGCTATGTGTAATACTCTGTTTCAAAAAATTTTGTTTAAATGGGAAAGAAATATGTTGGCATGAACTTAAGAAAATAATTTTACTATGGATGAATGTATGGTTGTCTAGCTCTTACTATCATCACAACATAAAGCAGTTATTTGAGTGAGTGATTTCAAAAATCAATAGTAAATTCTGATAACTTATCAACTATTTTATAGATCAGTATATCATTTTTGGAACTGAAGATGGTATTTACACATTGAATCTCAATGAGCTACACGAGGCAACTATGGAACAGGTAATTAGGAATTTTAACTCAAAGAATTAGCTTGGACCAATTGAATAAAAGAAGTATCATATTTTAAATCAGTTTGCAAGGGCTGGAGAGATGACTCAGAGGTTAAGAGCACTGACTGCTCTTGCAGAGAACCCGTGTTCAATTCCTAGAACTCACATAGTAGCTATAACTCCAGTTCCAGTGGAATCCAATGCCCTCTTCTGACCTCCAGGGGCATTGTAGGACACACATACACAAGCCATACACTCATATACATAATATAAAAATAATAAATAAAACACTTAAATCAGTTTTCTCAAAGAAAATGGTATTTTTATAGTACTGTTTGTTTTGTTTTGTTTGTTTTGTTTTGTGTTGTACTGGGGATCAAACCCAGGACCTTGTGCATGCTAAGCACATGATCTGTCACTGAGCCACATTTCCAGTAGTGCCATTTTAGAATGTTGGAATTTTAGGGCTAAGGGTAAATTTAGGGCTAAGGGTTCACAGAGATCTGACTGTGAAGAAGAAAATGGACATTGTACAATTCAACTACTTTCTCTTTTTTTTTCTTTAGTTATTTCCACGGAAATGTACATGGCTCTATGTTATCAATAATACTTTAATGTCATTATCAGGTATGTATCCAATGATGAAAAACAACTCATAGGCAAGCAAAGAAATGTCATTTTAGTACACACTGTATTAAAGTATAATGTTATATGTAATTCTGAGTAACTGCAGTATAGCAACTTTGGTACTTGAGGATGTTTTCTATCCATTTGGAATGGAGGGAAAAAAAAACAAGAGAAAGGACCCTGTCTTTTGTAAGAGTTGCATTTCCCAAACCTTTCCCCCAGGAGCTCAGCTCCTGAGGGAGACATAACACAGAGATCTATCCAGGCCCTTCCCTTCCATGTAGCCTCCACCATCACTCTCATTACTGCCTCCCTCTGAGTGTTAGCAGTGTGATGGAAGGAAGCAGAGGGCCAAGCCCATTCCTTTGCTTGTTTGTTTATGATAGACTTTCACTATGTAGACCAGGCCAGCCTTGATCTCGCAGAGATCTGCCTGCCTTTCTGCCTCTGCTTCTCAGGATTAAAGGCATGCACCATCACACCCAGCCTCAATCACCCATTCTTAGCTCAGTTTTCCTGCTTATCCAATGAGGGTGGTGGCATTAAAAAAAGTCTCTTGAGATTTTTGAGAGGGTTAAATGACCAGTCCAAAGTGCTAAGTAACTGTAAAGTCTTATGCAGATGTTGTTCTGGACCACATACTGTCTCTGACTGATGGTTTAAATCATCTTGTCTAAGGAGCTGGGAGCAAGAGAGCTCAGTCAGTAAAGTGCTTGCTTGCTCAAACATTGAGGACCTGAGTTAGTACCCAGCACCCAGATAAAAAGTCCGATGTGGTGGTGTGTGCTTATAATCCCAGTACTAGAGAGACAGAAACCAGGAGAAGCTCTGGGGCTCACAAGCCAGCTAGGCTAGCCTACTTGGCAAGTTCTAGGCCAGTGAAAAGACTGTCTCAAATGTTTTCTTATATTTTAGACTATCTGGAGGCTTACTGATTGAGTTCATCCTAATAGCAGAGTGCAGGATAGCTAATTGTTACTTCTCCCAAGGGGAGATTCTTCAGGAATCTCTGAATTTGAGCTAATCACAGTGTTTATGAAAAATATAGTCTTTGTGCATATGACTTCTAAAAAGCTGAGATTCTCAAGAGTACTTAATCTCTTTGATTTTATGTTTGCCCCAAGTCATTTTTATTTCCTTTAGCAAATATTCGTACTTTTTTATGAAACGAAACTTAAACCCAAGTCTATTTGGGGTGACAATTCTGAATTTTATACATAAAATTGCTTTTCTCTAGCTCTTGATGCTTTTAACCCTAGACATAGTTGTCTTCGGGAATAAGCTTTAAAACTACACATGGTACATATTAAATTTTTATGACCTAACATAGGAAAGCATGGAATAGTTTATAAATTAGTTCATTTCTTCACTGTAAATTACTCATAAAACTGAAGGAATGTAGGTAGCAGAGCTCAAGAGTGCAAGTCCACGTGTGTCAAGGAAATGGAGCGAGAAGAAAGATAGAGTGGTGGCCAGAATGCCTTTATCCTGAGAAAATAGAGAAAAATTTCTTAGGATAACATGTCATGTGTTTTCTAATGGTAAAAGGATACTGTTTCATGTTGTTATGGTGATATACCATGTGTGAAGGGTCAGATGATGTTTACTGTGTGTCTCCCTGTTTAGCCTAGCTATGTTTTGATTGTATGGAGTTGTACCCTAATTTATCCTGCATTGGAGCTCATAGTATTGGCTTGCTTTTCTTACTATTACAATCTGTTATATTTCAGTTTATTCACAATCAGTTTTAATCCAAGATAATTCAATGGGGTATGATAAATAGATCTGTCCTGAAGAAGAAATATAATTTAATAGACTTTTCTATTTTGTTCTAAAATTATGACAGTGTACATCCTTATAACTGTAGCACAGGTTTGGGGCATCAGTATTTCTCTTTTTTCACTAACATCATAAAGTTTACATCTATTCTGCCCAGATCACCTATTTGTCAGAATATGCCTAATTTATGTATAACAGAATAATCTACTTAAAAATTATTTACCTATTATTTTCAATATAAAATTAACCAAGTTTATTTTGTTGTCTTTTTACATGTTTTTCTGTTTTGCCTGGTCTTTGAACATTACTGGACTCCCCATTTTAGAAGGTAATTACGTTTTCTTGTACTTGAAACTTGTCTTTTTCTGCTGAAATTTATTCTAGGAAAACTAACTTGTTTCTAGTAAAAGTAACTAACTTGCTCCTCACCGAGGGGGTGATAGTGCACGTCTTTAATCCCAGCACTCTCAAGGCAAAAGCAAGCAGATCTCTGTGGGATGGAGGCCAGCCTGGCATGGTCTACATAGCAAGTTCTAGGACAGGTAGGGTTACATAGTAAGACCCTGCCTCAAAAAAACAACAAAAACATAACTTGTTTCTCCTTTGCAGGAAAATCCTTTCAGCTCTACTCTCATAATCTTATTGCATTGTTTGAACAAGCCAAAAAACCAGGATTAGCTGCCCATATCCAGACTCATAGATTTCCAGATCGCATTCTGCCAAGGTAACAAAATAATATTTTGATTCTACTGGGAGAAAGGGTCATTTGTGTCTATTTTTAACAGCTAGTATTCTTGCCTAGTGAAACACTTCTTTTTCTTAATTTACAAGGGTAGCTTTACACTGAAAATGCATGTCACCCAGGCTGCAAAAGATTGTTTCCTAAATTTAACTGTGCACAAGAATCATATGTGCAAGCTTTATAACATAAATTCTCTGTCTTATAAAATCACGTAGTCTAAAGTCAAAATCCAAAGTGGTTTTCAAAGCTCTTTCCTGTCTGATTCTGATACAACTGGTCATAAGCCACCTTATGGAGGCTATAGTGGAGTATATTTATATTGTCTTATGTTTTCAGAAAGTTTGCCTTAACAACAAAGATTCCTGATACAAAAGGCTGCCATAAATGTTGCATAGGTGAGTAAATGCTGTTTTGTTCGTTATATTTTGAGACAGGGTCTCCCTGTAGCCCCAGTTGACCTGGAATTCACTACGTAGACCAGGCTGGCTTCGATCTCACAGAGATCCACCTGCCTCTGCCTCCCAGATGCTGGGATTAAAGGCATGTGCTACCATGCCTGGTGATAGTTAGAACTTTCATTATCTATTAAATTAGAGAGGGGACTGCAGAGATGACTCAGCAATTAAAAGTACTGGCTGTTCTTACAGAAGATCTGAGTTCGAATCCCAGCACCCACATGGCAGATAACAACAGTCCATAACACCAGTTCCAAAGGATCCAACAACCTCTTCTGTCCTCCATGGGCACTGCATGACATGGGTGCACTTACATACATGCAGGCATAACACTCATACGCATTAAAAAAATAAATGAAATGAATTTCAATTACTTAAAGAGTTTCACCAGGCATCGTTGTGTACACCTTTAATCCCAGCACTTAGGAGGCAGAAGCAGGCATATCTTTGTGAGTTCAAGGCCAGCGTGGTCTACATAGCAAGTTCTGGGCCAGCTGGGGCTCAAAAAGACCCCCAAAATTATTTAAAGAGTTTCATAGTATAAATAGGAAGAAAGATGAATTTTAAGAGCTTAACCAGTTGTGAAATAGGATAGTCCACACAAGGCCATCCTCACTTCTCATATCATGCCCTAAACTACCCTCAGATTCAAAACTTGGCTAGAAGGACTCAGAGACCTCACTAAAAGCAGTTATACTCATGGCTATGATTATAGGGTAGGAAACAGATCAGACTCAGCTATGGGAAAAACAGAAGGCAGAACACAGGAAGAGACAGCCGTGGAGCGCACAGAGTTCTGTTTCTAAAGTCATGGACAGCAGTGCTGTTGCTGCATGCAATACGTACAAGCATTGCCATCAGAGATGTTGATTCAAGTTCCAGGGTCCAGATTTTTTTTACTGGGGCTCTATCATGAAGGAATGAGAGTACCCATATGGCTGGTCTCTATGTCCAAGCTCTCCATTGGTCAGCTGATGCTACAGGAGCCAAAACTCCCATCCAAAGTCACATTGTTGGTCTTTCTGACATGGCCAGCTCTTCATGCTAAGATTATCTGATGTCACTGGCCCCACCCTAAATTACACTATTAGATGTGACACAATGTCAGCTACTCCTATCAAGCCCAGCATTCCAAAGACTTAGTATTTCTCAGGAAAGGAGTGTTAGAGGACCAGCCTCTTTTGAGGCAGGGTTACATTCTGCATTACATAACAATCTCACCTAACTTTTTTAATCTTTTTTTTTAATTTATTATTTTTGTCTTATGTATATGAGTGTATTGCCTGCATGTATGTGAGTGCACCCGTGTCACCTAACTTTTAAACAATTCTTGGCATGGATTATGTCACAAGGAAGTTAATAGAACTGGGTCTAGTCTTTGCTGATCTTAAACTCTTAATTTCCAGTTTTTCTTTTTTCAAATCAATGATCTTATATATTTATCTTCATTGAAAGCCTAATCCATACTTTCTAGAACAAAATACTCAACCACAAATGTGTTATGGCTACAATCATGTGTCAGTGGTGTACATATGTTCTGAGAAATGTATCACTAGGTGATTTAATCACTGTATAGGGTCACTAAGTGATATAATCTAGTGGGACCACCATAGTATATTCAAGTCATGCATGGCTGAAATGTTATGTGGTGTGTGGCTTCATTACCACATTTTCAGCTTCCTAGGGAGAATTATGTATCTATCATCAGATTCCCCAGATCTGTGATTCTAAAAGGTCTGGAAGTTTATGGTCTAAGACAGAAGTGTTATAGGTTGGAGTTTGCAAAAAAATCACCAGCACCACTTTAAGAAAAGTAGCAAGGTAGATTTTATTTTTCGACTGGCCGGGCTGTCTATCTCAGGAGTAGAAGCAGCCCTGATCATTGATCGATCAGAGTTTTTATAGGATTACAGTAAGCATAGCATAAGCAAAATCTGCATTCACCAATGGGGTTGTACAACATAACAGAATTCCTAATTTTAGTAATTAGCAACCAATCATTATACAGACAAGTGATTTAATCACATAATTTGGCATCCAACTTTGTGACCTTAAAACTAGCCAACTGTTCTAGCCATAATAAGTATAATAAGACAGTCAAAGTAAACAACTTCTAGGTGGTCATACAATAACAGGATAACAAGGGTGGTCTTATGCCCTGTGTCAAGGTGACCCAAAATAGCAAGCGGATTACAGAAGTGAAAACAAGCTGGTTAGCCAGATGTATAATGTCTGAAATTAGCATATTCCATGGTTCATTGCTAGGACAATTTCCCAAGACCCAAGGTTTCCCCCCCTTTTCCTTATGGTGTGGAGCAAAGTTGCTGCTAAAATGGCTCTGAACAAAATGGAGTAACTTAGGTAAGTTTGCTGAACCAGTTCAAGAAGCTCAGAACTTACTTGAGGCACGTAACTGCTGTGATAGTCAGTGCATGTTATTGCTGATAGGAGTCAGATTGGGGCACAAGAAAGACCAATATGAATTTGTGTAGATTTGAGTTGAGAAAGTTCCAGAAAGATGAATTAAAACATGTATGCATGATGAGTTGTTGTCATCTTGCCTTAAGTAGACAGCTGAAAACTGCTATGCCATAGTGAAGTTATTTAGTAGTTTCTATTTCTATACCTTCCTGTCAGAATTTTTTTTTGAGATTTTATGTGTATGAGTATTTGCCTACATGTGTGTATGTGCCCCACATGCATGACTAGTGCCCAAGGAGACCAGAAGAGGGCATCAGGACCCCTGGAACTGTAGTTTTGGCTACCATGTGGGTACTAGGAACCAAAACTGGATCCTTTGCAAGAGCAGCAAGTGCTCTTAATCACTAAGCCATTTCTCCAGCCCCCAGAATTTATTATTTTAGTCAGCTTACTTGGAAGCAGCTTTTGAGATTATATATTAGATTAGATGTTTTAGAGCTGAAGGAACTGGTCTCATTAAAAATTCCCTTTGTTGGTTGGATCTCTGTGAGTTCAAGGCCAGCCTGGTCTACATAAAGAGTTCCAACCCAGCTGGAGCTACAGGGAGATCCTGTCTCAAAAAAAAGAAAAAAAAATTCCCTGTGTTTAAGTATCTAGCATATTAAAGGTATTTAGAAATAAAGATATGTAATTTCCAATTGAGTTTTTTAAGTGAAAATAAAGGATAAGAAAGACATTGTCTTTATTTACTGTTCATTCTTGTCCTAGTTAACAGAGAGAGTAGTTTTTTTTTTTTTTTTTAATTAGTCTCTCAAGTATTTTTCTTCTTTCTTCTGTACTTTATTTTGATTCGGATCATATTCCACTGGGTTTTTTTCCTCATACCAGCAACTACCTTTATAAAGAAAGTTATGTTAGCTTATAGGTGAGTATAGTTCAGCTGTCACTTATAGCTAAGCTAATTATGTTTTCCCATAAAAGCATTCAGTGTCTGGGATTTATTTGTATTTGTTCTTTTTTCCAGTCAGAAACCCTTATACAGGACATAAGTACCTATGTGGAGCTTTGCAGTCTGGCATTGTTCTGCTTCAATGGTATGAACCAATGCAGAAATTCATGCTGATAAAGGTAAATATGCTTTGTTTACATTTTTCTTCTCTAGAAAACATTGTTGGATAACTAAAATAAAATTACAAAGTCCCATTATTACTATTTGGGGTCAGAACCTGTAGAGTTAGTAGTAACTATGTTTGATAATAGGGGTTTGTGTTCTTAGTAATATTTCCTCTTCAACTTACTGTTACTTAATAAGCTTCTGGACTCCTCACATCCATAAACATTGATGCGGCCAGTTCTCAATATTTTTACAGAGCCCTGATGTTCATCCTTATCATTATCATCATAGACACAGACCTGTAAGGGATGAGATAAATTAAGAGGAAAGCCTTTCAGCTGACTTTATTCACCAGCAGTGTGAGTGGGGAGTGTTACAGTTCTCTGTTTATCTATTGCAGCACTTTGACTTTCCTTTACCAAGTCCTTTGAATGTTTTTGAGATGCTGGTGATACCAGAACAGGAATACCCGATGGTCTGTGTAGCTATCAGTAAAGGCACAGAATCAAATCAAGTAGTTCAGTTTGAAACAATCAATTTGAATTCTGCATCTTCATGGTTTACAGAAATCGGTGCAGGTGAGTGTTTTTCTCCTCATATTAAAATGTTCATGTTTTTGCATGTAAAAGAGGCAGAAGCCAGAGTGGGCTTCTAAATAAAAATGCACTATATAATTTTCTAAAGTAAGCCCCCCAAATCATATACATGTAGCTTGATCTCTATTTGCCCAAGTAATTATTTCTTTTTTTCTTTTTTTTTCTTTTTTTTTTTTTTTTTTTTTTTTTTGAGACAGGTTTCCCAGCTAGCCTGGAATTTGCTATGTAGACCAGGCTGGTCTTGAACTCACAGAGATCCACCTGCCTCTGTCTCCTGAGTGCTGGGATTAAGGACGTGTGCCACCACACCTGGCAAGAAAGATTCTTGACATTTGAAAGTCTGAATTCTGGGCTGGAGAGATGGCTCAGCAGTTAAGAACACTGGCTGTTCTTGCAGAAGACCCAAGTTCAAATCCCAGTACCCATATGGCAGCTAACAACTGTCTGTAACTCCAGTTCCAGGGAATCTGATGGCCTCTTCTGTCTGTGGCATTGCATGACACGGGTGCAGGCAATACACTCATACACATAAAATAATAATAAATAAAATATTTTTTTTAATTCTAAATTCTTACCAGTTTATCTTTGGACTTGTTCAGTAAACTATTATATTTTCTAATAGAGTCTTAAATTTTCATTAGCATCACAAGCTAAGAAAGTTCCCTTTTGTCCCTATCCTGGTTCATCCTTTCTTTCGCCCCTCACCTCTTATGAATCCCCAGAGTGGAACAGAAGTTTCTGAGGTTTGGCCTTCCAGCTTTTCCATTTAAATATCCACTGTGCTTTCTAAAATTGGTTGGTCAGCCTAGGAGTTTATAACACATGTCTAAGTGAAGGCTCTTGGAAGGACTAGGAAGTTTTTTCTAACTTTAAATTTGGAAAAAACAAAAATCAAGAATACTTTTTTTTGAAATGAGAAAATGGGCCAGGCATGGTGGCACATGCCTTAAATCCCAGCACTTGAGAGGCAGAGGCAGAGGCAAGCAGATCTCTGTGAGAAAATGAAAATCAGTATGATGGAGAGAGAGCTCACACACATTTATTTCAGCATTCTCCACAGTTATCAAGATAATGTAATCAACATAGGTTGATTTCAGCAGGTGTATAGGTAAAGAAACTACATCTACACAGTGGAATAGTATTCAACCATAAAGAGCATTGATCTATGCTGCATGGTGGCCCATAGCAGTAACCAGTGCTGGAAGGTAGAAGCAAGAGGTAAGTGGCTTCAGGCCACCCTGGGCCACATAGTGAGACCCTGCCTCAAAAAGAGAGAGAATGGGAATCAAGCTACCATTTGGATAAAACTGGAGGACATATAACTAAAATGTTAGCAGGAGGAAAAAAAGACATGTCATTTGTTCTCACTGTGGAAGCTTTAAAAAGTGCTCTTATAAAAGCAGAGTAGAATTATCAGCAGCTCAGAAGTGCATAGAGGTGGGAGGACCAAGAGAAAATGGTTAAAAGTATAGGGTGCAGTTGGGTAGGAGGATGATTTCTGGTGTTCTGTAGCCCAATAGAGTAACCAAGGTTATCAACAACTAAAATATTTCATAAGGCTAGAGAGCTGGCTCCCTGATTAAGAGCACTAGCTGCTCTTGCAGAGGACCCAGGTTCGGTTCCCAGCACCTACATAGTGGCTAACAACTGTCTTTAACTCCAGTTCCAGGGGATCCAACGTTCTGATTTTCAAGGGCATCGCACAGCATGGGTGCACTCACTCACATGTAGGCAATACACTCATGTACATAAAATAAAAATAATAAATAAAATGTTTTTAAAGTATATTTCAAAATGGCTACTAGAAAAGATTTTGAAGAATTTAATTTTTTTTAAATCCATGGAGTGTGTGAAATGAGAGAGGCTTCACTTTCCTATTTGTTATGCTGGTATATCATTTTGTCATTTGTCAACCCAGATTTATTAGGCCATTTTAAAGTAGTAAGTCAAGCAAAGTTTATAGTTATGGCTGTTTTATTATAGGCCACTGTTAAATTTTTTACCACATTGTGACAAAGTCTATTACAATTGTTAAAAGTTTGATATTTCTCTGGGCGTGATGGTGCACATCTTTAGTCCAAGCACTCAGAAGGCAGAGGCAGGCAGATCTCGGTGAGTTCAAGGCCAGCCTGGTCTACATAGCAAGTTCTAGGTCTCAAAAATTCCAAAAAAATAAAAAGTTTGATATTTTTTTTGGTTCTTTGTAATTTACTAAGTTACAAGAACCCATTAAGTATCCCAACTTTTTTGTTTTTTTGGTCTTTCTAAGACAAGGTCTCCCTGTAGCCCTAGCTGGCCTGTAACTCCCTATGTAGACCATGCTGCCCTCCATCTCACAGATCCATCCACCTGCCTCTACCTCCCGAGTGCTGGGATTAAAGGTGTGCACCTATTAAAGCTACTATCAAACCCACAATAATTTCACTTTCAGAATAAGAACAGGAATGTAGCTGCATGGAAGTGTCTATACTTAACATGCACAAGAACTACATTTGATTAAAAAGAAAATAGAAAAACTAGCATAGACCAGTGGTGCCCTAGTTTCACAACAGGATCTTTGAGTGCAACCATTTGCTGTGGTTACCTAAACAGTAAACACTACCACCATGGCCAGATTCAGACTACCAACCTGATGTCATGTAACTCATAAAATTCCTGAAAATGTAACCAGCTCCCTTGTGCCCTGGACTGTGAACTCTCCTGGTATGGACCAAGCCGTAATTTCTAGTGAGGGAAAATTGGAAAGCCACTTGTACCTATTCTGCCCCTTTCTCTTTATGGCTTAATGGGTTATGCTTCAGTTGGCTGTGTACCTCCTACCATAACTAACAGAAGGGTGTGAAGAGGCACTGCCTTACTATCAGGAGAAATAAGCACCCTAAGTAGACTAGATCCCAGTCAGGTACTCAAAACATGATTATAGATCAGTTCATTTCAAAACATTTTTTTAATTTTATTTATTTTTATTTTTATGTGTATGAGTGTATTGCCTACATGTATGTAAGTGCACCCATGTCATGCAGTGCCCACAGAGGTCAGAAGAGGGCATCAGATCCTCTGGAACTGGAGTTACACATGGTTGTTAGCTGCCATGTGGGTGCTGAGAACTGAATTCGGGTCCTCTGCAAGAACAACCAGTGCTCTTAACTGCTGAGCCATCTCTCCAGCCCCTTAAAACATTATTTTAAAAAGGAAACAAAAATAAAAAAGCCAAACTCATTTTTACCTCATAGCCCCAGCAGTTTGTTTGCTGGTTAGTGTAGCAAAGGGCAGGTCATTTCACACAATTATCCAGTGAGGTTTGCAGTACTGTTGTGTGATGTCTTGGGAAGTTACATTCTTTAGGACTGGACATTTGTTGAGTCCACTTTTGAATTTCAGAATTTGAGTTGGTCATTTTATAGGGTTTTGGTGGTGGTGGTTTAATGCCTATTATTCCCACCCTTCTAACATTGTCCAGGCTAAAATTAAAACAAACCCAAAATAACTTCCTGAGCAGAGCCAGGCCTATACATGAGGTTATCATCAGATTGACCTCACACAGAGGTGACGCAGCCTTTCCAATCGAGCATTTTGCCCTCTTGCTTCTCCATTTTCAAAAGAAGTTGCTAACCAAATTCCAGGCATGTTCATTATTAAGCCAAGAGCCTTCAAGCTGGCAAAGTTGTCACATTAAAATGAGCTCCCTTCAGAGCTTCCTTCCTATTCCAGTTCTGATTTGTTACTTCACTGTCTCCACCCTTTTCTCTGCAGTTAGCCCTCAGCGTGTGGTCAGTACTTGGGATTTGTTGAATGAGTGCATGAAAATGCATTAGCTGAGAAAAAGTATTTGTGGTGTGTTGCCTCAAAGACAAGCTTATTGATTGTATTTGACAAGATTGTCCACTGTGCTACTCAGTGACTTCTCTGTAAAGTAGCTCCATGTGTCTGAAAACACACACCTGCGCCAGGAGAGCTTCTTTCTGATCACAGTTTCATTAGCCCTTGTGCCCTTTAGAATCACGGGCTTGTCAATTTCAAGGATGCTGTGATTCATCTAGCTGGTCTTGTTTCCATCTTCCATTGACTGTAAGCACAGAACAGAAGCTAGCCATTGTGTATGTCTTCCTTTCCTCCATATTTACCGTTTGCTTTATTATTATTATTATTATTATTATTATTATTATTATTATTAGTGTAACTCACCTTTCTAAAACTGAGGTAGTAATTAAAACAATGCTGTTTCTTAGCTCAGTTGTCCATATTAAAACTGACATTTGTTCTCCTAAGTTAGCATGACAAAATATAATTTGTGTCATATTTTAAAGACTAAATCATAGCAAAATTTAGACTTTGCACTTATTTTCTAAACTCTGGTTTATTAAAGCATATTATATAACTGTAACCTCCCCCCCCCCTTTAAGGCAGCCAACAGCTGGATTCTATTCATGTAACACAGCTGGAGAGAGATACCGTTTTGGTGTGTTTAGATAGTAAGTACTATTTTAAGTTTTATTTTGAATATACTACTTGATAAGACAATTCTTCTAATGAAATTGGTTTTATGAAACTGTAATTCAAGCTTTTCTCTAAGCCTGGTTTTAGCAGGGGGAAAGGCTAAATTAGCTATAGATCAAGTAATGAATTGATCTTCTCCTTGGTGTCATGCTGTGGTTTTATAGTTGACTTAGAAACCTGTTAGAACGTGCCATGTCTTAGGGAATTTCATTCCTTACTAGGACTAGTGAGAATGGAAGGTTTCAGTAGTATGATTGCAGAATCGTAACAGGAACTTTGAAGTCACATCAGAGGCATGTGAATTGTAATGTACTTACTTATTTGACACTTCCACCTGACAGCTATGATTCTTTTGATGCTGGAAAGGTGTTACTGCTAGAATTGTGTTGTACTGTAAGCAGATAAGGCAGGAAAAAAAAACTTAGCAATGGGTATTATTTTGATTTTTGCAAACGGAGCACATTGGTTCTTAAAACCCACCCTATTTTTAGGCAGTAGAGTCCACCCAGTCTCGGGATTATATTTGAAACTTGGCAATATTTTCTAGAATTAGTCCATTTCTGGTTTGCATTTAGTGGCTAAAACTACCTGCCAGTATAACATTATGTAATATTGCAGCTGAGCCAACTGAAGCCTGAAGTGCCCCACTCACCATCATCCCTTGGCTAGGAACTTGACTGAGTACCAGTAAGATAGAGTGTTTTAAAGTTACCAAGGAGGAAGTTGCATAATTCTCTCTCTTTTTTTTTTTTTTTTTTTTGGTATTAACCAAATAATTAGATATTTAAATTTAATGATGCTAAGGCTTGAATATTCAATCTCTGAATACTTGTGAGTCATGAAAGGAAAATCAGTCATGCATAGTTTTAATTTTGGTGTCATGCATTTTATTACAATTCTTAAAAACCATTGATTAATGGGGCTGTGTATTTCCCAGCTAACCAAAGTAACTAGAAACTGCCTTTGTTGATATAATGTTTTTCAAAATAGTCTTCATAAATTTGTTATCAACTATGTGATTTATAAATTGATTTTAGCAGACAGCAGGGGGACAGACTTGTAATGACACATGAAGCTAGGTAGGTAAGAGAGCAGAGAAAGTGGGTCTCACGTCAGCTAAGATGATGAAATAAAATAGATGGATAAAGCGAAAATCAACTATTTTCGAATGTCAGCACCCCAGAATTTACTGCTCTCAGTGTACTATTTCTTGTCCTGTGTACCTTTACAGGCTAGAACTCATATGGTAGTTAGGGGTTACTGCAAGTACTATTTGCCAAATATTCTGTAATTTGTAAAGGGGGGGATCAACTCATTGCTAAATATTTGAGCACCAAAGTAGCCATTTAAAAAGAAAATATGTGGGCTGGAGAGATGGCTCAGCGGTTAAGAACACTGACTGCTCTTGCAGAGGACCTGGCTTTGATTCCCAGTACCCACATGGTGGCTACAAACTGTCCTTAACTCCAGTTCCAGGGGAATCCGAAGCCCTCTTCCGACCTCCACGGCATGGCACGATACGGGTGCACTCACATACATGCAGGCAATACACTCATACACATAAAATAAAAATAATAAAATATTTTTTAAAAAATGAAAATATCAAGACAGGGTGTGTTGACACATGCCTTTAATCCCAGCACTCAGGAGGCAGAGGCAGGCGGATCTCAGTGAGTTCAAGGCCAGCCTGGTCTATATTAGAAAGGGTCGGGGGAGGGCTTATATTGAAATTATAATAATTTTTTTTAAATAGCTAAATTGCCACCTACTAAAATAAGTACTGTTATTGTATCTCTTTCAAGACATATTAATGCTTATTTTTTACTAGGTGTACTTCAATCATGATAAATCATTGGACTTGATTTTATTGGACAATATTTTATTAAAAATATTGTTTGATGCCCACATAAAATCTGTATATTCTTACATTTATTTTTAGGAAATGTGCATTTCCAATCTTGACCTTTTTTATTTCTTTTAAGAATTTGTGAAAATTGTAAATCTACAAGGAAAACTAAAATCAAGTAAGAAACTGGCCTCTGAGCTAAGTTTTGACTTTCGCATTGAATCTGTAGGTAAGTCTCCTTTCTATGTTACTGACTTTGGAATCCTTGGGTATTTTGATCATTCTGTGCTTAGAGTTATATAAGCTAGCACTGTGTAGCTCGTTAGCTAGTTCATATGAATTACCACAGGAGAGGCTAGTTCCTGTATATGGATTGTTACTGCTGTAGATATGTTTCTATGTAAATAGTAAATTTCACACAGGCTGTAGACAGTATTGTGTCATTTTAATTTGCTTCCTTCTCAGTGTTTTACTCTATAGTACTCATTGGTTTTATGACTTTAAAAAGGGTTATAATTTATCATCTACATCTTTTGCTGGTGTGTCAATATTTTCCCCAAAAGGGAGAGCACTTATAAGAAAAATATTATAATTCCAAACATATTGGACAACTGAATATATGATTCTACCATAAAACAAAGGGATAAAAACAAACATAGCTATTTTTATTTGGTCCACATAAGATGTGTGTGTGGGGGGGTGTATAATTACATGTATGTAACTTTAAAAAGCATGTTTTTCACTAGTTAGAAAGTTTCTGTGTTTGTTTTTTGGTTTTTTTAGTAGTCTAACATGAGTTTCTCACATTAAACTGGAATTTTACTTTATTTAGCACAGAAGGTAATAGATAAAGGATAGAGCTCCATGGTAAGCATGAGGGCCCTGAGTTCACTCTTAGCACCAAAAATAAATAAAATATGCTGCTTTTGTGTACCATCTGACAAAAAGATATTTTGCTTATTGCTGGGATGTTTAACTTTTTAAGACAGAAAGCCTAAACTTCATATAAATACCAAGGCAAAAGGAATTTTGGAAACTTGTTTCTTCTTTACTCTTTTGTGTACTGTATATTCCATGCCAGTTTCTAACATTGACTATTGTCTTTTTTAAAATATTTTATTTATTATTTTTATTTTATGTGTATGAGTATATTGCCTGCATGTATGTGAGTGCACCCGTGTCATGCAATGCTGCGGGGGTCAGAAGAGGTCTTTGGAGTCCCCTGGAACTGGAGTTAAGAACGATTCATAGCCGCCATGTGGGTGCTGGGAATCGAACCTGGGTCCTCTGCAAGAGCAGTCAGTGCTCTTAACTGCTGAGCCATCTCTCCAGCCCCAACATTTACTGTTTTCAAGAGAGTCTGGCATAGATCCTAGGTCCTCTTCAGTTTAATTGAGATGTATTGGCATCTCAGCTTACATGTGTCAAATTGTTTGGGGAATTTTAATTGTACAAAAGTTCATTCTTCCTAGACTGCCATTACTTCTTGCTAATAAATCTTAAAATAATCACAAGAATTCTCTTGGAGAGAATCCCTTTAAATTGTGTCTCAAATATAAAATCAGTAACTGGGTTCTTCATGTGTCACAATTAGTGAAACACATTGTGATCTCTCATTATCAAACACTTAATTTTTATTAAGCTGAATTATGTTCCCAGACATACTTACGCTAGCTACCTTTGTTCTTATTATTGTAATAAATATATGCCTGTCTGACATGCACAGGCCCTGAGTTTGCTCCCTAGCACCACAAAAAAGAAAAACAGTGCTGGGCGTGGTGGTGCACGCCTTTAATCCCAGCACTTGGGAGGCAGAGGCAGGCGGATCTCCGTGAGTTCAAGGCCAGCCTGGTTGACATAGTGAGTTCCAGGACAGCTGGGGCTACAGGGAGACCCTGTCTCAAAAATACAGAGAGGAAAAGAAGAAAAGGAAGAGGAAGAGGAGAGAGAGAGAGAGAGAGAGAGAGAGAGAGAGAGAAGTAATTTGCAATCACTTTTTACCATCCTGTTATTTATGTTTGTGTTTTTCTAATTCTATTAATTGTCTCTAACATGTTATAATAGTTAAATACTAAGAAGTTTATATAAGAATTGACTCAGATCATAAAATTCAGTGTTGATTAAATTTTGGGTTATGGAGCAGGTTTTTTTTCTTTATTTTTGTTTTTGTTTTGTCTTTTTGAGACAGGGTCTCCCTGTAGCCCAAGCTGGCCTGGAATTCACTATGGAGACCAGGGTAGTCTTGATCCACCTGCCCCTGCCTCTAGGCGCCACCACACCTAGCTCAAAGGTTTGTTTTTAAAAATTATTTTATAATATGGAAAATATGAACCTAAAAGATGCTGGCATAATAGTTACTTAAATACTCTTTTTTTTTTAAACCAAACATCCAATTGTATGTTTTTATTGTTTTATTCATTTAAGATTGGAGATACAACATATAAAAGAGAAATTCATGTGCCAATATCCAGCCTATCAGAAGTCAGTTCATGTTTAAATGAATGCCTTTTACATACATTTTTTTAAAGCTGCATACCTCTGTCTCAATAAATTACTTGAGTTTAGACTTGTCTTAGCCACAAAAATGTTGAGGAATAATGGTCTAGACAGTGGAATTTGGCCCTGAGCACTTGAATAGTCTTGTATTATCATCTATTAAAAACAGTTAAAGAGGGGCTGAAGAGATGGATCAACATTAAAAGCACTAACTGCTTTTGCAGATGACCCAGGTTCAATTCCCAGTTCCCACATCAGGCAGCTCACAAATGCCCATTGCACAATCCCAGGAGAATCTGATACTTCTGGCCTCTGTGGGCACTTGTACTCGTGTGCACGTAGCCCACACAGAGACACATAATCTTTTAAAAATAAAAATGGGGCCTGGAGAGATGGCTCAGTGGTTAACAGTACGTGCTTGTCTTACAGAGGACCTGAGTTCCATTCCCAGCAGATACATGGTAGCCTGCAATCATGTGTAACTCCAGCTCCAACACCTTCCTCTGGCCTCTGTGGTCACTGTATGTACATGGCGCACATTCATGCATGTAGGAAAAACACATAAAATATTTTAGAAATAATAAATCTTTTTTTTTTAAGTTAAAGGAAATTTATAATTAAACACTCTGTGCTTTAATTTAGTTTCAACTTTCCCTTATCTTTTCCAGTATGCCTTCAAGACAGTGTGTTGGCTTTCTGGAAACATGGGATGCAGGGTAAAAGTTTCAAATCGGATGAGGTAAGCGTTCTCAAACTACTTCCCCTGACTCCCACACAAGATTTTAATGGAGAAATATTTGTTTTATGCATTTGCTCTCTGAATCATGTTGCATTGTTTAGTTCCTTTAATGCTATGTACTTGTAGAACAAAATAACCAGTGTTTTCACTTGTGTTCGCTTTTATATTTTGGTTTTAAATTCTCAGTAGCCACAAGGAATTACAAAATATAAGTTTGCATAATTTCATTCCTTAATTTTGTTATTTTTTTAAATAAAGTTGTTATCCTTGCTACACTTTTCTAAAGTTAATTAACATTTTCCATAATCTGTAAATATGTAGCTTCTTTTATAATATGTTTTAAATTATGAAGTTATATATACTGAATCATGAGGCTAGAGAAAATTAACTCATTTAGTAAGAACTAAGTGCCAACTATGTTGAAGACACTGTTGATGCAAATAACATGTAATAAGTATTATATTCCAAGCAGTTTACAAATATTAGCCTATTTAAGGTTCAAAATGATCCAGTGAAGTAGGTATTCGTCATACGTCACATGACTAATTAAATAGCAGAACATGAATTTGAAAGGTTTCCAAGCATCATTTCTGGCTGAGATAATCAGGATGCATCTCACACACAATATGGGATTTGGCTCCCACCCTGGGAGTATGTTGTCTTGTTGACCCGTGTCACTAAATGTCACTAGGTCCCTGTATTTAATGAAACCTACAGTCCTACTTACTGGGCATAAGGCTAATTGTTCTTTTTTAAAAATATTTTTTTTTATGTGTATGAGTATAATGCCTGCATCTAGGTAGGTGCATCCATGTCGTGCAGTGCCCACAGAGGTCAGAAGAGGGCGTTGGATCCCCTGGAACTGGAGTTATAGCCAATTGTCAGCTGCCATATGGGTGCTGGGAATCGAACCCTGGTCTTCTGCAAGAACAGACAGTGTTCCTAACCACTGACCCATTGCTCCAGCCACAAGGCTAATTGTTCTTAAATGCTATTTTCATTGTGTCATTTCTTTCCTTTGGGGAAACCAAACCCATGTGCTAGCAAAGTGCTCTTCAGTAACCTACATACACAACCTTCTAACTAATTTTATATCTGCATGATCCTAGTTTGAGTTCCTCCAAAAGCTACCATAAGAAAACAGCCCAGTAGAGGTAGTTTATCTGAGACAGGATTCCAAAAACAGGTGATAGAATAAGAAACATAAAAGTAGAAAGAGGAAAAATCAAAAGCACATTCATAAGCTGACTTCAACAGTAAACAGCCAGGACTTAATCAAGTACCACTAAGGAGTGATGGAGAATGCAGCTCAGAATTGGCTCATTAAAATGTGGGAGGTTGGAGCACTTAATGTACTAACTGCCATCCCATCTTGGCTAAACGTTGCCCCCAAACTCCCCACACTTTAAGGTAGTGCTTGTGCCTGACAGTGCGTGTTTTGCAACACTGCAGAAAACACAGCAGAATACCATCATAACATTGATATGAGAGCCTGACTCTTGAGATTAGGCAACAAGGTGCGCCTCAGATACTTCACTGTAAGTCACTGGACCTTGAGTAAGTTACTTAACCTCTCTGTCCTTAGATTCTTTTTTTAGAATATGAGAATTCTTCTAAGGAAAGTACCTACCCACACCAGATGTTCCATAAATGTTGGTAAATGCACTTGGTACACTTACATGCATGCAGGCAGAAAAACCCATACACATAAAATGAAAATAAGTAAAATCTAAGAAAGAAAAATTTAAAAAGAAACTGCAGGAATGAATTTGATTTGAGGAATTGTGTCTATGAAAAATTAGTCATTCTGTTTCATCACTATATTTAAATGATTTTTAAATTACCATGCAAGCAATATAATGGCTAAGATGTTACTGATAGGTATTTTGTTCCACAGGTAACCCAGGAAATTTCAGATGAAACCAGAGTTTTCCGCTTATTGGGATCAGACAGGTATTAGTTTTGTTGTATTGATTTAATGACACAAAAATTGCCAAGACTGTACTCTTAATTGGACTGTCAGCCTGTTTGAGTTCCCATCAAAATTCCTAGAGGGCTCATAATCTTAGAGGGGTTTCTCCATGTCTTTATCATGGAGAGTGAGTATACTTTAGTGTATCAGCATAGCAGCCTTTTCAGGGTGAGAGTTGTACTTTGAGAGACAGTTATACTCAGCCATGACAAAATGTGTAGGTGCCTTCTGTTAAGTAGTGCACAAATACACCTCCTGATATTGATTTTTTTTTTTTTATGTCAGAAAATGTTCAACTCTGGTTCTGAGGTCGATCTAACTTTGAAGAAATTAGGTTGGCCTCTCAATCTTTGATGTTAGATACGTGAGAAAGAGCTTAGAAGAAGAAAGTTATGACTAATGGTTTAATTCATTTATTTATTTTTACACCCACTTCCCAGATAGCACCCACCCATAGCCTCCCTCCCCCAACTAGAGCCCTTATTCGCTGATATCCCTGCTACTATCTGCTGTGTTGTCAGCCCCCCCAGCCATTCCCCACGACTTGCCCTTCTGGTGAATCTAGTCGGCCTATCTAGAGGTCTTTGTTTTAGGAGGGTCAGCTGTTCCTCATCTAGCGGTAATCAGTTGTCAATATTCCTTTGGATAAGATTGGGGTCTGCTGTTCATTTTCCCAGTTCTATGCTGGGTTACTATCTGGGAATCCCATTGGCCACCGTGGCCAACAACTCAAACGAAGGTATCGCCCATCTGGCATTGTTGCTTGTTATGTAGCCTTTACACATATGGACTCTTATGAAATTATATTGGCCCCATTAATCTTTGGTTATACTTTCCTTTTGGGTGTTTAGGGCCATACAGTTGGACCAGATAAACTGATTTATTTTTACTCTTGAAGTCATTTGAGGATATGTTCCTCAGGGGTCACATGGGCTTAGGAGGAGCCCCTGGCTCCTTTCTTTTACCAGTTCCACCTATATGAAGTCAAAGGCCTGCTTGACCATGGTTGGCTTCACTTGGAAGCATGGAGGAAATGATTTCTCTGTGGTGACCCTCCACTTTATAGGCTGGACACTGGGTCAAGTCCATCTGGTGGGGTCTCCTCGGCCTCCTTGATCAAGAGGATAGGTGACCCACCACCATTATAGGACATTTTGAGAGATGCTCATAGTCCTCTGGAACTAGTCGACCTCAGAGGACTAGGAGCAAAAAGTGTGCTTTGTGTCCCTCTGAACAAATTATTATATGCCTCAAAGTATGTCTCTTAAACACCCAAGAAGGTTACTTCCACAAGTCTGGTATTTTTAATTACTATGTATCATGTAGATAAATCTTGGGCAAAGACCAGTTGTTCTCAGATAAACCTTATCTACACATATATTTCTTGATCTGCTATGTATAATTTGTCAGTAGGGTGTAGGAGTAA